GCTTTCGCTTGGCCGGCGCGGTATTACGTTCACTTTCATCTGAGCTGGAGAAGTCAACATAGGCGGACATTTCTGCAACATAAATAAAAATTAAATGTATTAACGTATTAATATTTTATTTTATGCTGTATTAGGTACTTTTTCCAGCAGTTGCGCGTCTCGGGCGGCCACTTGTTGAATTTCGTGCAGGTGCGCGACTGGTTGGTTTACGTTTACGTTCCTCTTCTGCGCTCTCCTCCTCTTCCTCCTCATCTACTGGCTAATGAATGTGAAAGTGAGTAAATAAATGAATTTATAAACATGAAAATTAAAAATTCCTTAGAAGACCCACCTCTTCATCCTCTTCCATATCTTCTTCCTCCTCTTCAGCCGCTTCGTCTACACAGAGCGACTCATCCGGTTCCATAAGGAATTTGAGCACACGATTTGCAATTTCATCTTTTGTGCCTAAATTTTAAAAAATTATATATTACATTTATTACACCAGCAAATTTTAGTTTTAATACTTTACCTTTGCGATCCAACGCTAGTATATCACAAATACCCTTAAGTGCCTTCGCGTCGGTTTTCTTAATGGCATCTAATTTTTTCTTATATTCACTAGAGTCCTTCTCAAACTCGAAACCGGCAAATGAGCGTAAATTCTTTTTAACAACATTATTTTTACCAACAGACTTGAAACAGAGCTGATAAAATAATATAAAATAAGAGCATTAATAATAATAATAACATGAAAATAAAACAGAAAAGGTAAAAAGAAGAAAGTGCGAAATTCTTTCTCAAACATATTATATCTTATACTACAAACAGTAATATACTTACCTCATGCAACGTTTGCAGTCCATCAACCCGTGTCTTATTAATATTATCATTGATTCTATCAATTTCGGCCAAAGCCACCACACTCTCATCATCCTCATCGACTTGCTGATTTTCATTATCCACTTCGTCTGATTTATCTTCTTTATTTTTGTCAGGTTTTTTGTCGTTCTTCTCTTTACCCTGCTCCTTGACTGGCTTCTTTTTATCAACAGCAGGCGCTGTGGCGGCGCCGCTTGCAGTACCAGTTACTGTACCATTCTTCTCCTTAACTTCAGTCTTCTTATCATCTACTTCTGTCGCATCGTTATCCTCTTTGGAGTCGTTAGCCTCCTTGGCCTCACCGAGCTTGTCCTTTTGAGCTGACTTTTTATCATCACTTGAATCGACCGTGGATTTATCGTCCGATTTATTTTCTGGAAGAAGTAAAATTATGAATACTCTTGAAACCGCACATCGTTGTTAAAAAATGTAATAATAAAGAAAACTAACTCTATAAGTCATTGACAATTAAAATAAGTTTAATATTACCAGGGTTGCAAATAATGCTTTAAAAAAATAATTGAATTAACTTTTTTATTAAAACCTTAACCTTAATTAAAAATAATTTTTAATCCAAAATACCAGACTGCAAAAGAATTTGATTTTAATTTTTTACCTCAAATACCGGATTGTTATTTTTTTTCATTCCAAGCATATAATTAAGAATAGAAAAATAGAAGTTGTGTTAGAATTAACATTTATTCGTGTTCTACCATTTTGAACTAGAGCTTTCACAGAACCATCATTTTTAATACCCTAGAGCACTGGTCATTCAAACGTTTATTGATGAATTTTATATCGATATTTCGTCAATTTTTAATTGAATATAATCTGAAAATTGTTGAAAATTTAAATTGGATACCAAACAACTGAGACTAAAAATTAGATTTTCAATACGACTTGCTAGTTTTCATTCCGATGTCCGAAAATTTAGTTTTTATTTCAAAGTTTTTGAATTAAAAAATTCGCAACCATGATTACTACATAATTTAATTTTCTAATGGAATTTAAAAAGTAATTGTTTTCACCCTTGGGAAGTCTAACAGTCACATATAACGTGCGTGACGAGATAAACTATGAAATAGCGAATATTTATTGTACCTTGGATATTACTACACAAAACCATATTTGTCAGGGTTTAGCATGAACAAATCCAAGGGTAGATAACGCGTATGGATACTGGCCGGAGCATGATATAATTTTAATCAAATCTCTCACCATCTACCATTACACACCCACACAACACGACACAAGAAACCTAAGTAGTTTATTTAGAAAGTGCAAAGCAAGGAAGAAAAACACACAAATTCATTTTTCTTTTAACTTCCTCAACCCAAACACTTCCACGAAGAGAAAAAGTCACGCGCATGCTTTGGCTCGGATTCGAACATGCGGCTGACAGAAAGCGCGCCAATTCATACATTTTAAATACAACACGCTAGCACGATGCGCTATGCAACGTCGACAAAATTTGCCGGTCATAGCACATTGGTTGTTTTCGTGCTGTTGCTCTACTTCCATTCAATACCAAGACATGTACTTCGCCGCACAGCGGAGACCAATCGACCGAGTAGAATACGTAGCAAAACAACAAACCCAAAAAATGCAACAACTCGTCGAATGAATTAAAATTCATCCAATATGCCAACAATTCACTTTGCCAGACAACTCAAGTTTTTGAGCTCTATTATTTCGTACTTTCGCATTATCTGCACTTAGCCGCTTATCAATAGCATTAATTGTATGTATATTTAACGGGTTTTTAGAGAAAAAAAAATTAAATAAAATAAGTTAAAATTATAAATAAAATGAAGAAAACAAAGATTTCTCTCGCTCACCTGTTTCGGTTTCCGATTTTGGTTTTTTATCGTCATTCTCTGTTGCTGTAGTTACCTTATCTGCTTTCTTATCGTTAACTTCGTCATCAGCACCTGTACTATTTTTCTTCTCTACCGCAGCAGCAGGTTCTGGACTTTCTGTACCACTTGCGGCGACGTCTTTCTTATCGTTCTCTGGCGCTTTCTCCGCTGTTGACGCCGCAGTATCGCCTCCGGCTTTTGTCTCCTCTGTTTTGTTCTCGCTTTCCTTTAAGCATAATCGCATTAGAATTAACGTTAGTTTAAAAAGTATTCAAAAAAGAAGATATAAAGTCATAATAAAGAAAAACCTATTGATTGACCTTAATTTTGAAGGTTATGGATGACTTTTAAACACACTAATAATGTATTACGAATTTTACAAATACGGAAGAAAAAAACTCACATATTACAAACAATATGGCAAAAACGCATATGGTGCTCGCTTAAATACTTGAAAGGTTATTAGTTTGCACGTAAGAATTTGCGATTGTACTTACTCACGTTAACTTCACCTACAGCGAATCTGAAATAATCTTCATAGGTACATTTCTTATAGTAATTATCTTTTTTTTTATCGGTCAAATATCTTTTGGTCATTGTAGAGGTGCCTTTGACAATAACTTATGCCAAACTTATGGTCTGATATCGGCGGGTTCCGACTAACGAGCAACTTCTTGGGAAGAAAAGGGCGTGTTCAAATTTTCAGATCGGAATCTCAAAAACTGAGGGACTAGTCTGCTTATATACAGGCGGACGGACATGGCTAAACTACTTAGATCACGCTGATCATTTATACAGACATATATTTTATATTATCGCCGAAGTTTTCTTCTGGTTGTTATAAACTTTGTGGCAAATTTAAACAACAATAAGGACAAAGGAAGCTGTGTGATACTCGATCTTGCAAGAGATGTTAGGATTTAATAGATTATATGTGCAAAAGTTGCATGGCATAATTTCTAATAAGAGATTTTTTCCTAATATTAATTTTAAAATTAGTTTTGAACATAATCTCTAAATTTAAAAATATGTTTTGATTTTAAAGCTATTTTTATATCCAATGAAATTGTAATGAGGTCAAATATTTTAATTTTTATAAGAAATTTGACTTTCTTTTCTTTAATTTCAATTTTTGTTTCACTTTAGTAATCTGCTGAAATACAGTATTGGAATTATATCTTTCAGTAGTTAATTTTTAACCTGACCTAACCTATTGTTTTGTACATAACTGTAACAGGGAAATATACCCTGAATTGTAAGCTTATGCTTCATCAGAGTGTGGCAGTACAGTACGTATAGTGCATCCAACACCCACTCATATACTCATATTTGTTAGCAAATGACACTTGTCGAGCACTTGAAAATAGGTTAACTGTTGCCTTTGCAAACAATTCACCCCCACCAAGTCTGCCATTGGAATAATAATCAAATCCGCATTACAAAATGCTCAAAATTGTACATATGTACATACACCCATGTAACTGGTATATGTGTACATTTGAAAATATACTTTTTCGCCTTTGTTTTTCTCCGGCATTCGTTTAATTTCTTTGCCTTTGCCAAACGCGCCAACAACGAATTCTGTCATAAATGAATGAATGAATATTCGCTTTCGCCTGTTATACGAACATTAAGGCGAATTAAAATAAAATGCAAAGTTTCCAACCAGATGAATTCGCTGGCGTATCAACGAAAAGGTTATTCAAAAGGCGGCAAGCGAGGAAAGCCTATATAAAATGTGTAGTAGATGAAAATGAACCGACGCCATGTTTATACACCACCACGACACGGCACTGCACGGCATAGCAAATATACGACGCAGCGCAGCGCGGCGCAACGAAACAGCGAAACGACGTTCATTGAAAAAAAATTAAGATGAAACGATGAAAGCGAAAAATTCAACGAATGTGTCGCGCTTTAAACTTTTTCTATTCACTTTTAGACGTAAAACACTCCAAATTTATGCACAATTTTATAGTATTACAAAACTTTTAACATAAATTGATTCTTTGAAATACTTTTTATTAATTTACATACCATATTTACTATGTTTTTTGCCCGAAAAAATATTTCTCGCCGTTTCCCTGGCACGAAATTCACTTATGGAAAATACACTCAACTATTTTATTAATTCCTCTTCGCCATAAGCTTCTTCTTCTTAACTACGCAGGATTGATATTTTTGGTATCAGAATGTGTTTACGATTTTATACAAAATTTAGTAAAGTCGATTAAATTGAATGAAACTCACAATTTTCGAGGAGGTTATATTATTTACAAAACATTTTAAACTTATAATCTACAAACTTTTAGTTTTCTTTCCAAACATTCAAATACGCATACAAGGAAATAAAATTGCGTTTAGCGTTGAACCTATTTTTTCAAATTTTATCTTGAAATTGTATATACAAATATTTAGTAATATACGATTACAAAAAAAAAAACACAGCTCATGTATTGTACATATCCATTCATATCTGTAAGAGTCGATAATTTTACCCGTATTTTGATAACATTGCGAATATCGTTTTATCGCTGTGGCACATTGGTAAATAACTGCGCGCCAACAAAATCTTCATTTATTCACCTCAACTGCTCTATACGATTTCGTTCTGCAATCATTTCATTTATCCTGAGCATAATAATAAGGACACAATGGGAATTTTGGGATTAGCGAAATTGATAGCAGATATTGCACCATCCGCAATAAAGGAAAATGAAATCAAAAATTACTTTGGTAAGTGAGATTTGTTGCAAAGTATGACATTCGTTTAGCATTAACATACCAACGTTTCCAGGACGTAAAGTTGCTATAGATGCATCGATGTGTCTCTATCAGTTTTTAATAGCCGTTCGTTCTGATGGTGCGCAACTAACAACAGTGGATGGCGAACCTACGTCACATTTAATGGGCATGTTTTATCGAACTATACGTATGTTGGAGCATGGCATTAAGCCGGTATATGTGTTTGACGGTAAGCCACCAGATCTAAAATCAGGTGAATTGGCTAAACGCGCTGAACGCCGTGAAGAAGCACAAAAGGCCTTGGAGAAAGCGGAAGAAGCCGGCAATGCAGAAGAGGTGGAAAAATTCAATCGCCGTTTGGTGCGAGTAACTAAAGAGCATGCGCGTGAAGCGCAGGAACTGCTTAAACTAATGGGTGTGCCATATGTAGAGGCACCCTGTGAGGCGGAAGCGCAATGTGCGGCATTAGTCAAGGCGGGCAAAGTGTATGGCACCGCTACAGAGGATATGGATGCGCTTACTTTTGGATCAAATGTGCTGTTGCGTCATTTGACTTTTAGCGAGGCGCGAAAAATGCCAGTCAAAGAGTTTAGTTATGAAAAAGTGCTACAAGGTTTTGAATTGACCAGCACTGAGGTAGGTACTCCAAACAAGCGGTCTATTCGTGCTTATCAAAATTTTTTTCGGTTTTAGTTCATAGATCTCTGCATACTGCTTGGTTGTGATTACTGCGAAGGCATAAAAGGTATTGGACCAAAGCGTGCAATTGAATTAATTAATACTTATCGTGATATTGAGACAATACTCAAAAATATTGATCAAAAGAAATATACTGTGGCAGAAGACTGGAATTATCAAGTTGCGCGTGAGCTGTTTATAAAACCCAATGTAACAGATCCTCTAACAATTGAGGTAAGTGTGTGTAGTTAAGAATATTTCGGATTTTGTAATAACTTGTATTTTTTACTTTAGCTCAAATGGACTGAACCAGATGAAGAAGGTCTGGTTAAATTTCTCTGTGGCGATCGACAATTCAATGAGGATCGTGTACGCTCGGGCGCAAAGAAAATACAAAAATCAAAGAATACACAAACGCAAGGACGTTTGGATAGTTTTTTTAAGGTACGTTAATAAAAGATATTCTAAACATTTTGATATAAAGAAAAGTTAAAATTTTCTGTACTCTCCCTTTAGGCTATACCGTCTGCGAATAAACCCACACCTAAGCGCAAAACAGAGGATGATAAAAAGACTGCCAATAAGAAAGCAAAGACAGGTGGCGCCGCTCGTGGCAGACGACCAAAGTAAGAGTTAAAATTGTAGTGAGTTGAATATAATAACTGACTATAAATAGCTAATAAGCGTGTTTAGTAAACTAAGTATATTTAAAAAAAAAATGGCGTTCCATGTTAAAATTAAAACAATATTGTTAAAATGATTTATTAAGTCTAATATTTTTTTATTTGTTTACTAATTAGTGATAACACCTGTTATATCATTGAAAGTTGTCTCAAAAACAGTTTATTTATTATAATATTTTAAAACTTATTTCTAACTATTTGATATTACAACAATATTTTACAATTAAGTCTGAATCTTTTGTATCGTCGTAGAAAACTGCTTACAACTACAAGTACGGCTAGGGCTTAAATTTATTACATATGTTTCGTAAGTATGTAATAAAATAAAAGTTGTAGACAATTATGAATCCGTATATTTTTACAACAAATACTGTTTGGCTAGTGCGCGTAGAAAGCGTGTTTTCCGTATTGCCGCCGCTTCACGTTTGATTTCGTCGTTGTTGTTTGCATTCAATTCAAGTGAGCCCATAATAGCGATCTTTATAATAAAAATAGAATGAAATATACATATAATTTTAAGGTTTCTAAATAAGTTATAAATTGTCAACAAGCCTACCGCCTCCAACTTTCGGCTATGCTCTCCCTTTCTAGCATGTAAATTTATTATAAACTCCAATAACGTTGTGTCCCAAATGCAATTATAATACGCATCCATTGCGTCGGTGAAATTGGAAGATTTCTCGGTAAGTTTTTTGAATACAATGCCGTAATCAATTTCCTCCAAAAACTGCAAAACGTTGTGAACAGTTAAAATTTTTGTTTACAAATATTCTACAAATACAAAATTTACCTGGCACAACACAGTGGCTTGCATGTGACAGCCTAAATTCGATGAGCAACGTATCATTTTATGTATTACATAATCATCAGCTACATTGCGTTGCAATGGAAATGTACAGTAATCGGTGCCAGTGATGAGCGCATTGACATAACAACGCATTGCCGCTTCGTTGTTGCCAATAGCTGGATGATAGAAATGAAGTACAAAAACAAAAACAAAAAAAAATTATAAAATAAGTATAAACAATATTTAATTAAATACAGAAAAATAATGGTAGAAAAAAATTGCATACCTAATTCCAAGTCACCTTTCGTTTTCAACCATGTTATAGTTTGTGGATAATATTTCAACGCTTCTGTTAACAGCCAATGCAAAGTCTCACAAACTATACGCACGCTATACGCCAAGGGACTGCGAGAGCAAAATTAATTTAATTTAAACATTTGTGTTTTTATTGCGTGGATAAAAGCGCACTACACCTACCTGGGTATGCCAGCGGGCCACAAATGCATATATTCACCACTCAAGTCATGATTTGTATCATCTCTAAGTATGTTTTGTATTTTTCCAAGGCATGATATGGCCAGTGAGAAGATCAGTTGATGGCGTATGCGTTTCAGAAACGGTTGAAGGCCAGTTGAAACAGCTAGGGATGGGGAATTTCGCGAACTGCCGCCACCAGAACTGCCGCTGCCGCCACCAGGACCACCGCTACGTTTCGTGGTATTCACAAACATTTGCAATACCAAATCGAAAGCATCGCGGCACACCTTTTTAGAGCCTTTCATCTTCTCCATATCAAGTACGGTGGCAGCAAAGGCAATGGGCAGCTCGAGTTGTGGCAAACGCTTATCCAAGAACATTAGTGTATTCCAATCGCCTAGATTGAGCAGCATGATGGCGCAGCTTTCGATTATCTGTGGTAAAAAAATTTATATTTTGCTTCTTAAACTGGATTTCAAATAAATAGCCAACAATAACCAAGCCATAGATAAAAACCAAGCTTCACATAAAAATTATCGATTTAAGAACCAGATATTGATCGATTAGTTTGTATGGCAGATACATATATGCTTTAGAGAATAATTTATGCCGTTCCCGCGACAGTCTACAGGTCTACGTTTACGGAACGGACCCGGATTTTTATCCGGCCGAGACTGTCAACTCGGCAGAATTCTGCCGCTACAACAACAACAACATAATAATTTATGCCAAATTTCGTGATGATTTCTTGTCAAATAAAAAAGTTTTTTTTTTTTATTTAGATCGGTCAGGTATGCTATAGTGGTCTGATATCGACGTGCCTCATTAATCTTAATTTGGTGCATATAAAGAAAAAGTAATATTTTCCATTTAAGTCAAACGCTTGATTACCTCTATGCGGGGTATAATGTTGTCGTTGCTTTGTAGTGAGGCCAAACATAGCTTGCAGCGGTTACCCAGTGACTGCAGATCCAAAGTTTTCCGATTCCATTCTTCCAGGCACTGTGTAATTTGTATGAATAAAATCTCCCAGTTTACCAGCTTGCCTAGCTTTGAAACAACTGTGGTATTTGAAAGCTCTTGGCGTTGTGTCTCCGACTTCAGTACGCTCAGCATCGACACCGCTCCAATGTAGTCCTAAGGGTAATTTAAGAATTGTTTCTTGCAATAAAAACTGCATTTCAAAAATAAACTTACACTTTTAGCAGTCATCTCGCGCGCTTTGCCCAATAAAACATAAGCAAAGTCCTGCAGAAATCCTCTTTGCATAGACATGAGCAACGATTTAATCGGTGTTGCAATCTCCCAACTTGGATTTACTGTCCAAAGCGGTTTAGCTGGATTGGTGGCAGCCAACTTAACTAGAAGTTTACGCACAGTATTCGCATTTGTGCAAGAGATTAGTTGACGTTCGAGCGAGCCGACCTCAATACGTATTACTAAAAATGTAAATATAATTCATTATAAATTAACAATTAATTATTACTGAGTTTTTAGGCATTTCATAACCTACTTTTCGAATTGAATTTCCATTCACTGAGCGTTGCAAGCGTCGGCACAGTGAGCTCCTCATCGGCTGTTTGTCGTTCTAGGTCAAGCAATTCAGTGGCTGAGAAGAGTTGTATGTGTTGCAAGTGTTGTAGAAATTGTTTGCCGATATTTTCTTTCAATATGCTGTCTATTAGAAAGCTTTTGATTGCGTTTCGCTCGCCAAGAGTACAATGTGGCAGCACATTGCTGATTGCCTATATAATAAATGATCGTTTTATTAGTATATTACAATCATTTTAGTCACATACTATTTACTATTTACTTACCTCTACAATTGTAACGAAACAGTTTATGTGTCGGTATTTCTCAAAATAATCCACGCTTGTAAAAATATTGCCCTCCTCAAAAATGCTGCGTACTAAATTCAACACAGCTACTTGCATTTCGAGTGTACGCGACTCCTTAAGTGAACCCTGCGAAATGGCGCCCTCAATGTCGAGTTCGAGTATGCGTCGGCTTACAAGTGGTATCTCACGTATATGATTATCCTCTTGTAGTATTTCAATGATGTCCTTGTAGTAGTGGTAATAAACAATTGCACTAACTTTTAACCCGAATCATATTTTTTTAGTTACTTACTTTATACTGTTTTAATGACGAGGCATTAAAGCGCTCCGTTAAAGTGGTACGTTGCTCGCTACAGCCACAAGCCAGTAGATAACCTTCCAGCTCCTCGTCATTAACGTGGCAAAAGAGATAACCAGCCGATATGCGTTTAGCAGATTCGGTTATATAGTCAGCTTTCATTTCCTTCAAATTGCGTCGACACTCGTTCACAGCATCGCGTGCTTGTCGGTATTGTTTTGTATACAAGTAGAAATTAACCAAATCGAAGTAGATTTGCGAACGTAATTCGGCTAACGAAATTTTTTGCATATGTTCGAAATTTTGCAGCATAGTTTCAGTGTCTGCGTGTAGTGTTACAAATGTGTCGAAAGTAAACACATAAAACGGTTCCGTGGACTTGCAAAGCTCCTGCAGATAATCCACGCTATTTTTTGGTGGTATATCAGGAGCGAAAAATTGATGCATCGGCTCCATTGGCACAAACCTACACACATTAGAAGTAAATGTTTCAAAATAAAGAACACTACATTTCTTTATTTACTTACATATTAGCCATGGACGGACGCGCTGCTTTCATGGCAATATCTTTTAGAATTTGCAAACGTAACACCCAACGGTGGTAGAATGTTAGCGCAAAGCGCGCAGCATGTTCATGCCCATCAGAGGCTGTAATTAAATATTAATTAATATAAATATATGCGTTATGCACCAATTTTCGGCAACTTACAAATTTTCGCCTGGAAATCCTGCTGCAAGGGTATACTTACCAATTTGCCAAAGCAAATCGTACACAAATCACGCAACAAAAACAACTGTTTTGGTATCGGTAAACTCTTTTCCAATACATCTGCAATTTTATAAAAAGTTTAAAAATGATACAACTTCATATGCTTTACATTCTTACCGAGATTCCACTTCAACCACGTTGCTACTTTAAGCGTTAAAATCTTCAATGCAATTTGTTTACGGGGTATACGTAGACCGTCCATGTTCATCATAGCAGCACCACTATTTACGCCTGCGCCTGGCGTCACCGGTATACCCCCCGGCAAATTTTCTGTGTCTGGCGAAGTTAAATCATACTGTGTTGGTATTATTACATCCGGCGTAACAGATATGAATTGTGTCATTAATTCCAATGCGCTGGGATCTAAAATACCATTTTTTATTTCAATTTCCAATTCAAAGCGCGTTCTATTTACCTGGATTGAGCTTTTGCAGGTGTTTGGTAATTAATTGTGGATCGAGTAAAAATTCAAACCAAAGTACGGTTTCGGAGTCAAGCGGCACCGCTTTTGGACGCAAAGGATCGTCCATTTTATTATTCAACGATGTGGTTGCACTTTTACCAACACTCATTTATAAGTTTTAATAAAATTAACATTACAAAAACGAACGCAAGTCGCTAATAAACAGCTGTTATAAATAAAAATGTCAAATAAAATCAGCTGGCAACAGTGTTGTAAGCCAAAAGCTGAAACTATATGCAGAACGTTACTAATGCAGTTAGTATTTAATAGCTTCCAGTGGTTTTATGCAGAAAAAATGAATTGGTTTCAACACTCAAAAATTTTATTTTCTTAAAAGTTTTTATTTTATACAGGCTTTTCGTATACATACCAAATCGGCCTTCGTTTTAAAGTGCAACTGCATCACCCTGCATTCGTTGATCCAGTTAAAAGCTTTGTATCTTAACTGCTAATAGCTGCTAGCTATCAGGAAGAAGAAGATTGTTCGCAAAGACCGAAAAGTAAAGAAACAGAAAACTAGCAGAAACTACCAAGAAAATATCAAAATGTTGTTTTTCACAATCACTTCATATCAACACTCGAAAATTAATCAATCGAATTTTTATTTTCTCTCAGTTTTTTACGCTTTCAACTTGTGCTCTCTTCTTCTTGTTTCTGCTAGTTTTGTGGGTTAAGAAACGCTTTCCAGCATATACTTTGCTAGCTAGTGAT